CATTTTCACGATATTGATTCTTCCTAACCATGAACATAGAATGTTTCTCCATCTGTTTGTGCCCTCTCTTATTTCGTTGAGCAGTGGCTTGTAGTTCTCCTTGAAGAGGTCCTTTACGTTCCTTGTTAGTTGTATTCCTACGTATTTTATTCCCTTTGTGGCAATTGTAAATGGCAGTTCTTTCTTGATTTGGCTTTCTTTAAGTCTGTTACTGGTGTATAGGAATGCTTGTGATTTTTGCACATTGATTTTTTTATCCTGAGACTTTGCTGAAGGTGCTTATCAGTTTCAGGAGATTTTGGGCTGAGATGATGGGGTCTTCTAGATACACAATCATGTTGTCTGCAAATAGAGACAATTTGACTTCCTCCTTTCCTATTTGAATACCCTTTATCTCTTTTTCTTGTCTGATTGCTCTGGCTGGAACTTCCAGTACTATATTGAATAGGAGTGGTGAGAGAGGGCATCTTTGTCTAGTGCCAGATTTCAAAGGGAATGCTTCCAGTTTTTGCCCATTCAGTATGATATTGGCTGTTGGTTTGTCATAAATAGCTTTTATTATTTTGAGATACGTTCTGTCAATACCTAGTTTATTGAGGGTTTTTAGCATAAAGGGCTGTTGAATTTTGTCAAAGGCCTTCTCTGCATCAATTGAGATAATCATGTGGTTTTTGTCTTTGCTTCTGTTTATGTGGTGAATTACGTTTATAGACTTGCATATCTTTATTTCTGCCATCATTTCATTGTTTATCTAGTCAACATTGAAGAGCAAGTTGTTCAGTTTCCATGAAGCTGTGTGGTTCTGATTTAGTTTTTGAATTCTGAATTCTAACTTGATTGCACTGTGGTCTGAGATACTGTTTGTTATGATTTCCGTTCTTTTGCATTTGCTGAGGAGTGATTTACTTCTAATTATGTGGTCATTTTCATAAGTTTAATATGATACTGAGAAAAATGTACATTCTGTGGATTTGGGGTGGAGAGTTCTGTAAATGTCTATTAACTTTGCTTGGTCCAGGTCTGAGTTCAAGTCCTGGATATGCTTGTTAATTTTCTGTCTGGTTGATCTGTCTAATATTGACAATGGGGTGTTAAGTCTCTTTGTAAGTCACTAAGAACTTTCCTTATGTATCTGAGTGCTCCTGTATTGGGTGTGTATATATATATAGGATCATTAACTCTTCTTGTTGCATTGATCCTTTTACCATTATGTAATGTCCTTCTTTGTCTCTTTGATCTTTGTGGCTTTAAAGTCTATTTTATCAGAGATGAGAATTGCAACTCCTGCTTTTTTTTTGCTCTCCATTTGCTTGGTAAATCTTCCTCCATCCCTTTATTTTGAGCCTCTGTGCATCCTTGCATGTGAGATGGGTTTCCTGGATACAGCACACTGATGGGTTTTGGCTTTTTATCCAATTTGCCAGTCTGTGTCTTTTGATTAGGGCATTTAGTCTATTTACATTTAGGGTTAATATTGTTATGTGTGAATTTGATACTGCCATTTTAGTGCTAGCTGGCTGTTTTGCCTGTTAGTTGATGCAGTTTCTTCACTGTGTTGATGCTCTTTACAATTTGGCATGTTTTTGGAGTGGCTGGTACTGGTTGTTCCTTTCTATGTTTAGTGCCTCTTTTAGGAGCTCTTGTAAAGCAGGCCTGGTAGTGACAAAATCTCTGAGTACTTGCTTGTTCGCAAAGGATTTTATTTTTTCTTCACTTATGTAGCTTAGTTTGGCTGGATATGAAATTCTGGGTTGAAAGTTCTTTTCTTTAAGGATGTTGAATATTGGCCCCCACTCTCTTCTGTCTTGTAGGGTTCTTGCTGAGAGATCTGCTGTGAGTCTGATGGGCTTCCCTTTGTGGGTAATCCGACCTTTCTCTCTGGCTGCCCTTAGCATTTTCTCCTTCATTTCAACCCTGGTGAATCTGGCGATTTTGTACCTTGGGGTTGCTCTTCGTGAGGAATATCTTTGTGGGGTTCTCTGTATTTCCTGGACTTGAATATTGGCCTGCCTTGCTAGGTTGGAGAAGTTTTTTCCTGGATGATGTCTTGAAGAGTATTTTCCAGCTTGGATTCATCCTCTCCGTCACATTCAGGTACACTTATCAAACGTAGATTAGGACTTTTCACATAGTCCCACATTTCTTGGAGACTTTGTTCATTCGTTTTTACCCTTTTATTCTCTAATCATGCCTTCTCGTTTTATTTCATTGAGTTGATCTTCGACCTCTGACATTCTTTCTTCTGCTTGGTCAATTTGGTTGTTGACACTTGTGCATGCTTCGTGAAGTTCTCATGTTGTGTTTTTCAGCTCCATCAATTCACTTATATTCCTTTCTAAGTTGTCCATTCTTATTAGCATTTCATCAAATATTTTTTCAAGGTTCTTAGTTTCTTTGCATTGGGTTAAAACACGTTTTTTTAGAGCACAGAAGTTTCTTACTAACCACCTTCTGAAGTCTGATTCTGTCATTTCATCACTCTCATTCTCCATCCAACCTGTTCCCTTGCTGGTGATGAGTTGTGATCCCTTGTAGGAGGAGAGGTGTCCTGGTTTCGGGTGTTTTCATCCTTTTTGTGCTGGTTTCTTCCCATCTTTATGGATTTATCTACCTGTTGTCTTTGTAGTTGCTGACTTTCAGATTGGGTCTCTGAGTGGACATTCTGTTTGTTGATAATGAAGTTATTTCTGTTTCTTAGTTTTCCTTCTAACAGTCTGGCCCCTCTGCTGTAGGTCTGCTGAGGTCCACTCCAGGCCCTGCTTGCCTGGGGATCACCTGCAGCAGCTGCAGAACAGTAAGAGTTGCTACCAGTTTCTTCTTCTGCTATCTTTGTCCCAGAAGGATACCTGCCAAATGTCAGTCTGATCTCTCCTTTATTAGGTGACTCTTTGGATATACAGGGGTCAGGGAGCTGCTTGAGGAGACAGTCTGTCCTTTATAGGAGCTCAAGTGCTGAGCTGTGAGGTCCGTTGTTCATTCAGAGCTGCTGGGCAGGTACATTTAGGTCTGTTACAGCAGAACTCATAAACTGCTTTTTGTTTCCAGGTGCTCTGTCTCAGGGAGTTAGGGCTTTATTTATGAGTTTCCATTGTGCTGCTGTCTTTTTTTTTTTTTTTTTTTTCCAGGACTGCCCTGCCCAGCAAGGAGGCAGCCTACTCACTGTCTGCCTGCAGAGGCTTTGCTGGGCTGCTGTGGGCTCCGCACAGCTGCCATGTGAACTTCCCTGCAGTCCTGTTTATATGGGTGTAGTTAGAACTGCCTCGGCAATGGTGGCCCACCTCTGTATTGGTGGACTCTCTCTGTAATGGCAGGTTGCTTTGGCAATGGCAGGCAGCCTCAGCAATGGTGGGTTGCCTTGGCAATGGTAGGCTGCCTCAGCAATGGCGGACTACCTCCGTAGTGGTGGAGTGCCTCAGTAATGGCAGATGCCCCTCCCTCACAGAGCTGGACCCTCCCGGGTTCAGCTGGGCTTGCTGTGAAACTCTCAATCCGGAGAGTTTCTGATTACTGTTCTTTTGTGGGGGTGGGGCCAGCCGAGCCTGATCACCTGGCTCCCTGCCTCAGAGCCATTTTTTTTTCTTTTTTAGTTGAACAGTCGACTCTATCCCAGGTGTTCCAGTTGCCAGTTGAAAAGGTGCAGGGATCTGTGTGATTTCCCATGCGGTGACTCACTGTGCCGGCTTAAACAGTGGGGCTAGGATTTGTAGCACTTTTTTGCCCAAGAATCTTCTGGCCTGGCTCCCTGTTCAGTCCCCTCTTTAATCAGATGAATGGGTGCCTTCCCGGGGCTCCAATCGCCAACCAAAAGGGCACCCAGACCAGTGTAATTTATACAGAGAAATGCTGGCTGGGGTGCCGACAAAGCAGCTGCATGGGGCAAAGCAGCCACGCCGATCAAAAGAACCACGCTGGCCAAAACAGCCATGCTGGCAACCCGTGGGGCTCCTCCACCTGGGAATCTCCTGGTCCATGGGCAATAAAAATGCAGCATCCACTCACCCTCTGCATTTTCACTGGGAGCTGCACATTTGAGCTGTTCCTAAACGGCCATCTTGGATCTTCCCCCAGGAAAATCTTTAAAGGAACGGTTTGTAATTGATACCAGCCATTTGAAACATTCTTTATAACTTGGCTAAAACAATAAAAAGTAGAACTATCTCATAAAAATAACATATACTTTTTGTAATAACTAATCAATAACACTTGTTCTAAAAATAGACATATATATATATAAAAGGACTAACTTAAATTGCTTCTGATTCTGTTTTTAAAAATTCATTACAGATATTTTCAGACCCTTTTCTTAAATAACAAAGCAAATAAGCAATTCTTCATTTGTGTACCCTTGGCAACATTTTTTTCCTCTTGAGACAGTGCCAGGGGTCAATTCCAGACATAATACTTTGGCAAGTACATCTTTATCAGCTAATGTAGACACACAAAAAATTGATATAAAAACCCAGTGTTCTTACAAAATAAATAGACAACTAAGCTTAATGCTTTTCTTATTTACCAAGATGTTTACCTCCTCACAAATGACAGTTACTTGAATGGCCAATTGTATGATGACATAATGTGCTTTGAGTCATAATGAAATAGTTTTTTCAAGTTTATATAGGTATGATTTAAAAATTAAAATTGCATTTGTTTAAGGTGTACAACATAATATTCTCATGTACTTATATAATGTGAAATGATTGATATAAGATTTAAATGCAGGCCTAAGATGATAAAGAAATAACAAGTTGCTGTTCTTTGCAATAATGTTATTCACTGTTTATTTGCTACAGTCATGTTTGATAACCTTATCTGGTTTATTTCAGCCACTTTGTTTGTGTTTACACAGAGACTCTCGTGCATATATCAGCCTCAAAATGCGCTCCAGATCTGCTGGAAAAGCACAGCCCTAACAGAGAAGAAAATTAAAAAAATTCAACTAGCTGGCATATTTGTTACTTTATGGAACATATATTTATTCTTTGCTTTTTCAAACTATCTAGGTGTCCTGCAATTGAAAGAAGATACCATTGAAAGTTTGCTGGCTGCAGCTTGTCTTCTGCAGCTGACTCAGGTCATTGATGTTTGCTCCAATTTTCTCATAAAGCAGCTCCATCCTTCAAACTGCTTAGGGATTCGATCATTTGGAGATGCCCAAGGCTGTACAGAGCTTCTGAATGTGGCACATAAGTACACTATGGTAAAATCAATTGCTTCAAATTAACTTGCAGTAATAATATGTTAATGTAATAAAATTAATAAGCAATATAAATTTATATAACTTGTAGATGACTTTCACGTTTTATATATTCTATAATTATTATCTATTTGCCTAGTTGGGCTACACCCAAGTAAGCTTTTCCTTTTTGGAACTATGAATCTTTAATTAAATCCCCAAACTTGATGAAACAAAAACACTCCCAAAAAATAAATTGTATAACTGTATCTTTCAAGTAGAATCTATAGTATTAAGAAAATGTTAATTCCCTGATGTTTTTGCACAAATTGAATTTTACTTTATAAAACTAATAAATTATGATTTATGAAGAAAGTAAAGTGTCATTAACTAAGGAAAAATGCTTATACTAATGGGTAAATAATTGGATGAGCTTAAAAACTAGCAAAATAAGTATGCCAGATAATTTTATTGAATATACTTTTTTATGTCATAGTAGCAAATTGGTTATTATTTTGGTTAAAAATAACTTACAGTTCAATTCTTTAATACAACTAACAAAATCCCTTTGAATTTCATTAACAAATTAAACACAAATGTTCACATGTGGTAATTATTAAAAAGTTGCATATAAGAAGATAGTCTTTATTCAGTCAGGTGACGATAAAATGAAATAGATGATAGGGAGGCAAGAAAAACTGGACAGAAGATATTAAATAAGCCTTACAATAGATGCTCATACTTCCCTGATGCAGGGAAAAAATAATTTTTTTTAATCTCTGAAGAAGGGAAGGACACAAGAGATGGATCTTTTTGTGAAACCCAGTCAAAATATAAATATTTCAAACAAAGGAAATTGCTTCAGTTATTTAATATTAAAAAACAAAAAGCAATTGCATAAAAGAACAATAGAAAGTCACACATCGAAATGGTGAATAAAAGTAGCATGTTTTAGAATAGAGATGAATATAGTAAGTATTTTTCTGGAGTTTTATACATAAGGTAATTTTTTAATTTCTAAAATTTGAATTTTTTAAAAACTTCTTATCAAATCTTTCTCCCTCCTACTTCCCATGCTAGGTCCATTGCTCAAAATTCGAAGTTTGAAACATATTTTTAAAACAATATTATTATGTGGAGAATCATATTAAAATGGACTGATAATTTAAAATCTATCATTTAGTTACACAATTTATGTTCCTGTGTCCTAAATACAGATGCCATATAACCTAAAGGAACAGCAGTTATGAAGGTCCAAGGTTTATTCTATCACAAAAAATAAACATGAAAAATTCCTATTAAATTACTTAAATTGTTTAACTAAGTATTAGCAGTTTCCTGTTTAGTATTACATGCTTGCAAGCAAAATACATTCTGAAAACTAGCTTGAATTATTTTTGTTGCTCAGAATGAACTTGTCTTCCTTTTCCCATTATGTGACCGAAACAGAGTGCTAAAGCAGCATGTGCATAAAAATGCAATATTGTTATCTCTCTTAATCTCTCTTCTTTAGTTATGTTAGCATCTATTGTGAATTCAATAAAATATATAAAGGTCTTGCTATAACAATGTTTTGGCAGTACTGTATTGATAGTATAATAATGCAAATAATTTTAATGTCTAAGAATAATATTAAACAATTTAGAGATTCAATTGTAATCATGTGCATTGTTAGACTGAATAAAGTAGATTGCCTTTCCGAATGTGAATGGGCTTCATGCAGAAATACCATCACAGACACACTCAGAATGCTATTTGGCAAAATGTCTGGGCACCCCATTCCCCAGTCAAGTTGACACATAAAATTAACCATTTAAATCATATAGATAGTTGTCTGCATCAGTTAAGCAATTAGAAAATATGTGATAGTCATTTGGTAAATTTCGAAACAATATAAGTGTAGATTTTTATAAAATGAATAGTTAATCTAAGGCACAAAAGAAGACTCCCTTGTAATGTACATAGAATAAAGTGTTTACCTTGAAATTAGGAGCAAAATAATTCCCAAATAAAACAATTTAAAATTAGTCTTTAAGTGAAACAAATTATTTCTATACAGTACTGTATACTGCAATGAAATATATAGGTACTTTCAAAATACACTTATTTTTTATTTAGACTTATCTACTATATTGCCCAGCAATTTTCAATAATGTAATTATGCAGTAATTCTGAAGTCATAACAAATTATATCAGAAAATCTAGTTTCTGACCATATCTAAATATGACCACCATATGAACCATTTTTAATCACTTCTTAACTTTGCCAAATGCATAATCAAATATGACAGTCTTTACTACGATGTGCGTTGGCCATTAAATAGGTCTTACACATTGAGATAGCATCTGTCTTTCTCCTTCTCCTCCTCTCGCTCTCTCTCTATATATGTATATATTTAATTTATATATAAATATATTTTTATGTGATATATATTTATATAAATATATAAATATATAAATTTATATAAATATATATATTTAAATATGTGTGATTTATATATAATACATATATATGATATATTTTTATATATCATATATATGTATATATGTAAATCATAAATATATTAAATATATAAATATAAATATAAATTTTTATATTATGTAATATATTTATATATTATATATTTATGTGTATTTATATATTTCCCTCTCTCTTCCTTTTCCTTTTTTCTATATCATATATATATGTATTTATATATAAATCACATATATATTTATATATATATTTTATATATATATATTTATTTTAATGGATAGTGTTTAGAAAGGAGAAGGAGATATTCAGTTGTCCATAATAATAATGCAGTTTCAGAGTTTATATACAATATCGGTAGTATATAACATTAAGTTTTATGGTTCTATATTTGTCTAAACTCTTTCCCAAAAATAATATCACTTATGAAAAGCAATTTCAATATCAAACAAAATGTAGTAGGCATGATTTCAGAGGCTTATGTTTGAATCCAAACTTTGCCACTTACCCCATAGGGAATCAGACAACTCATATGACGTGCTTTTTTATCAGACTAATTCTACTTTCTCACAATATCACACTGGTGATGACTTAATGCTTGTGAAAGAAATCAGTAAAGTATCAATTGCTGTACAAGTGTAATGTATTAATAGTGGTACTACTATCACTGTTATTTGAGTAAGTGGGAGGGATTTCACCCAGAGACATCTGCTACAGCAACAACAGCAGTTCTCTCTCAATTGTTTGCCTTAATCACAAAGGGTTATTTGTCTAAATAGGCCAGTTTGAAACTTACAGCATCAGAGCTTTCTGATGGGTCTATCAACACTGATGATTGCTGTATGGATAACTTTCCTATTTGGTTGATTCACTTCCACAATTACTAAACTAAAAGTAAAGCTGAGGGGGTGATTTGATTTATTTAGAGACCCCAATTATTCAGAAACTATCTTAAACTGTTCCTAGAATATCTGTTTACTGTGCAACATAAATTTCAAGTAGGTATGTTTATCTTCATTTTAGCAATGTATTTTATTTCATTTAAAACTTGAGATCTTCACTATGAGAAATTTTAAAAATGGTTATTCTGTTGTCAAAGAAAGAACATTTAATATTTATAAATTAGAAAAAAAGATGGTGTTTTGATTTAAAAAATGAAACATATTTGAAATTTTATATTTGACAAAATACAACACAATGACAGAAGGAATAATTGAGATATAATATATAAATTTCACACACATCCTCACTCTTTTTAAAGAAATCAGTTTATAGGAATCCGTTTTAGATTGTCCTGAACCCATACATTGTTACCAATTGCAAAAGAATAATTTTCTCTTGGTCAATTGAAGATCATACTTTTTCATAAAGGAAAGAGTTTTTCATCATTTTTTTTCTTATCTCCAAGGAATTGAGTCTGTTGCTCCCTCACATACATAGCCAGCGTTAACTCTCATAGGCTTTCAAGATAGGTGCCACCTTAAAAACGTTCAAGCTATGGCCGGGCGCGGTGGCTCAAGCCTGTAATCCCAGCACTTTGGGAGGCCGAGGCGGGTGGATCACGAGGTCGAGAGATCGAGACCATCTTGGTCAACATGGTGAAACCCCGTCTCTACTAAAAATACAAAAAAACTAGCTGGGCGTGGTGGCGCGTACCTGTAATCCCAGCTACTTAGGAGGCTGAGGCAGGAGAATTGCCTGAGCCCAGGAGGCGGAGGTTGCAGTGAGCCGAGATTGCGCCATTGCACTCCAGCCTGGGTAACAAGAGCGAAACTCTGTCTCAAAAAAATAAAACAAACAAAAAACGTTCAAGCTTTTCCTTATGGCTCTTGGCTAAAGATGAACTAGACAGTCAATTCTGAAATCATGAGCTGCTGTTGTCACATACAGCAGCTAGGAGCAAAAAGTGCTGCTTTTGGCCCCAACACTCTGCCTATGTGGGCTGTGAAGCAGTTAAAGCTTCCCTTGTGTGTTCTATAAATAATTCCCAGTGGAGGCATTTGGCCTCTCAGCTTCAGAAGGCTCCATGTTTTCCATGTCACGGGCAGCGACAGCACCTATATTTTATAAATGGATACATCTGTGTCTGGCATTTTCTGAAGTTTAACAACATGAAATGCTTTGATATGCTTATTTCGTTAAGAAATTTCTAAAGTGCAAAGTTTTAGTCAATGACCTTTCTTTTCTAGGAACACTTCATTGAGGTAATAAAAAACCAAGAATTCCTCCTGCTTCCAGCTAATGAAATTTCAAAACTTCTGTGCAGTGATGACATTAATGTGCCTGATGAAGAGACCATTTTTCATGCTCTAATGCAGTGGGTGGGGCACGATGTACAGAATAGGCAAGGAGAACTGGGGATGCTGCTTTCTTACATCAGACTGCCATTACTCCCACCACAGGTATGGAAAAACACCCAGGTAATTGAAAATATAGTTCTGAACTATCACTAGGCATTAATCTATTTCTTATTTGCCTAATTTTATTCCTGATAAATCTGAATGTACAAGATTTGTTTCACAAAAGGACATATTCAGCCATCAGTTAGAGGCATAAATAAAAGAGAAAAAAAACATGGCTAAAAAAAGCTACAGTTAAATCATAAACATCAGAATACTCATTAGTTTTGGTTTCACCATATAATATTTGTAAAAAGCTGAGAAAATGACTAACTCCTTTTTTTTTTTTTTTAACCTGCACAGCTTCTAACCAAAATGTTAATAATTAGTACAATAGCCTTAAAGCTGAGAAAATGACTAGGCTAACTCCGTTTTTTTTACCTGCACAGCTTCTAGTAAAAATGTTAATAATTAGTACAATAGCCTTCCACAGGAGAGTCTAGGAGTCAGATCCTGAATAATGCCTATTAATATTATCTGCTATGATCAAAAGAACGCTATCATACATTCAATGCACTACAGCATAATTATAAAGGCATCTTCACCATATATGTTGAACTGAAGGATTATAGCAAAGATGATTCTAAAAACAAACACCTTTGGATAAGACCCAGGGTTAACTCACCTCATAGTGAATTTTGTAATGCAGTCCCATTGCATAATTTCACTGTTGGTAATAACCACAATTTTTTCTCTGTATAAAATTGATCAATAAAATTTATAATATATATGGATATATTGCAAATATGCATGTAATATCTATTGAATTTGTGGTTATAGGTTCAGACATCATCCAAATTAAAAACAGTGACCTTGCATAGATTTAGTGGATCAATAGTTTCAAAAATATTAACATGAATCTGCTTTTATAACAAAGTTACTAATTAAATGTTAATATTGAAAGATAGATTGTTAATCTGCCAATGATTTTTCCACATTTTTTAAAACGTCTGGCTGTTAATTAAATTCCATAGAACTATATGCATACTCTTAAGAATCTCTACATATGCAGGGAAAGAACATCCATTAGCCTTCTGGTTATAGCAAATTTAGCCAAAGAGCAAGGCAATAGTAACACCAAAAACAGAAATGTTAAATATATGTATATAGTTTTAGATCCAAGGTTCTAAATTTTTGTATTGATAGATGATCTTTAGAAACTATAGAAATTTTACATTTGGGTGAATGTGTACATTTATGTGTATTATTCTCAAGAAAGACTGTTTATGAGATTATCAAAGACTGCCTTTCAAAATGTTCCTGCGCCTGTGAGCTTGTTAAAAACACAATTTCTCATGCCCCACTACAGACCGAGTGAACCAGTTTCAGGGAAACGGTGAGGAATCTGTGTATCAGCAATTTCTCCAGGTGATTTTAGGCATAGAAAATTGAGATGCACTGGTGTAAGAAATCAGAAGCTGTTATCTTTACAAAGCCTTAAGTCCATAAGACACTTTCAGCAGAGAGAACGTCTTAGTTTGAACTTTTCTTACTTTATTGGAATGGAAGGAAATTTCTTGCCCAAATGCACAATTAGTACCATGGTAGCCCACCTCTGAGTATGTCTTAGACCTAGAATATGGACTGTGTGAAGTTTTTCTGATGATGGTAGTGATAGGCAATGTCATGCAAATATAGGCTTTCCAAAATAATTTAAAAAGCAACCTTACAAATATTTTAGAAATGAAATATATAAAAAATTATGGTGATGAATCTCCAAAGAGTATTTTTGGGAAAAAGTGCATAGCCTAGTTTTTAGACCTAGTTCTGAAAGCATACACATTGAGCAATGCCTGGGATCTCATGAGGCATGTCAAAATAAAGATCCATCAGCTATTACAGGTGGATTGAGAACAGAACTGGAATTAACTCATGGAGAGCAGGAAAATTCAGAGAAGATTAATGTAATAAGATTACCTCTTCTATTCCAGCAACATGCTCACTATTCCTCTCAATGTCCCATGATACTGTAGACCCAAAACTCTAAGGGAAGCAAACTAAGATGACTCTTGACAACATTCTGAAATATACTCTTGACTTCTCTCCAACTCATCTCATGAAAAATATTTTACTTCACTTTTATCAGTGTTAAATAAGGTCATTGTTGGCCAGGTAATGATAGTTAAAAAGAATTCATCATCTATTTTTGTTAATATGCTGGCTAGTTACTAAGTTGTGTACCTCAACCCAGTTAAAAAACACCTGCTTTCAGCATACTCTAGAGAAGTGATCAGATGATAAAGGTACCATCCACCATGTCTGTTATTATTTTAACTGAGCATGTTGGCATGGCCACCACTACCAACACAACTACCCTAAATCCACCAGAAAGATTGCTACTTGTGTTAGCTGCATGCAGTAGACTAGGAGATTCCTACTTGTGCAGACACAGCCATTCTCTTTGGCTGCTTTCAGCAATAATTTCTATGAGTGCTTTTTGACTTTTGCTCCTTTAGATTATATGTGTACATATTCAAAAGATGAATAATGTGCCAATTAAATAGATTTGCAAAGATCATTAGCTACTACCAGCAGATTTTTAGTTATTTTACATGGTAAGTAAAAATAAAAATCTTACTAAACAACCCAAAACATTAAATAATCAAACTTCTACGTTTTAGTTAGCTCAAGGTTTCTCTACCTCGACCTCTCAGGCTCAAGCAATCAAACCACTTCAGCCTACAAGTAGCTGGGATTACAGGCACAGGCAACCACATCTGACTAATTTTTGTATTTTTTTAAAGAGACAAGGTTTCACCATGTTTCCCAGGCTGGTCTCAAACTCCTGAGCTCCAGCATCCTACACACCTCGGCCTCCCAAAGTGCTGGAATTACAGGTGTGCACAACTGTGCCGAGCCTCCAAAGTTATATAAGCACAAATACCTTCTTTCTAATGGTGAACTCTCCATTCATATGTCATATATCACTACTTTTCAGTTACTGGCAGATCTTGAAACCAGTTCCATGTTTACTGGTGATCTTGAGTGTCAGAAGCTCCTGATGGAAGCTATGAAGTATCATCTTTTACCTGAAAGAAGATCCATGATGCAAAGCCCTCGGACAAAGCCTAGAAAATCAACTGTGGGGGCACTTTATGCTGTAGGAGGCATGGATGCTATGAAAGGTAAAAATAACTTACAGTATCTTCATTCAAAAAAAGGTACATTCTCAATAGCCTCCAAATTATAAGGGTGATATTAAAGCCATATTAAATGAGTGCACCTACAGCTAATTTTCATAAATAGGGTGCTTTATACGATTTTGTGACCTCATTTTCATACCTTATGAGACATAACCTTTCAATTAGTGTTGAATTCTTAATAGGCACTTTTACTTTACAGAAGCAACACATTGCCATATTAGATCTTTTCAAGGAAAATGTGCTTAACGTTTGTGAACCCAAAAGAATGTGAGACAGGTCTCAATTAATTTATAAAGTTTATTTTGCTAAGGTTAAGGATTCACCCATTCTTAACCCCAGGGGTTCAGGGCACAGCTTGGTTTTGTACATTTTAGGGAGATCAGAGATCAATCAATGTGTATAAGATGTACGTTGGTTCTGTTCAGAAACATGAGACAACTCAAAGTTGGGGGGCTTCTAGGTCATAAGTAGATAAGAGACAAGTAGTTGCATTCTTTTGAGTATCTGATTAGCTTTTCACTGAATACACAATTTACACTTGAGGGAGGTACAGAAATAGTCACTTATGCTTTAGTCTGGCTTAGAGAATCTGTATTTTTTTTCATAAACAGTAAAGCTGAGGAAGCTATCAGATATGCATTTGTCTCAGGTGAACAGAGGGATGACATTGAGTTCTGTCTTTCCCTTGTCTTGCACCTTCAAAAATAAGCTATCAATTTACATTTCCAGGGTGAAACTCAATGTAACTGTTACAGGGTAAGGATCTGGAGGCCCACAAGGAATTTCCTTGTGGGCAAATTATGAAGGAGATGTGTAGCTTTTTCTAAAAAATACTCTGTTACTTGTCTTATTTGGGAATAAAAAGGGAGGAAAGGTATGCCTGACACAGTCCTCAGCTTGACTTTTTATTTTGGCTTAGTGATTTGGGGGTCCTGAGACTTATTTTCCTTTCACATGTTTACCACAAAGGAAAGAGACTGTAACTGTCAAAAAGTCTGGCTGCTGGCCATTTGTAGAAAGAAGCCATAATAACAAGAGTGAGGTGTGTTAAAAAGAGAGCAAGATTTTCTTTTCCATGCTAGTAACGGGGTGAGTAGGTGGAATTCTTTCCAAAAATTTCTATTCTTCCATTTGTAGAAGGCATGGGGAGATTTTAAAGAGAGGGTGTGGAATGCAAAGTACGCAGGGTGTCTAGGAAGTGTCAGGTGTTGTGACCCACTTCAATGGCTTGTCCTGAATTATTTATTGTTCCATCTGGTGAAAGGGATGGTGCCATCATAGCCAGAAGTGCCTGGTCTGTAATAGCATCCAGCCCCTGAAGCTTCTAAGGAAATATATGATCAGGTAAGCGAATATGGTGTGTATTTATCAAGCATCTAGGTAAATAAATGTGCATAAGGCATGGGAGCATAGAATGGGATTAGAAAGGAGTGGAGGAAAGGAAACATTCCAAGGATATGAAGTTTACCTTGGAGTTACATCTTGATACATCTTCCCAAAACTGTGAGGTGGTGGGAAATGAGGAAAGGAAAGGGGATAGAAATAAATCATTTTAAAATGTGGTTTGAAGTGGTACTGAAATCATATTATTTTCTTTGATGTATGTAACTGAAAACTGGACGACTATATATAGTAACTATGCTTATTAATCATAAGCCCATAAAACAAGAGACTGCAAATGCGATTATTTGCAAATTTGTAGGGTTACTTCAAGAACTAATGTTCTTCCGAAAATAACAAATAACAACGTTTTTTGTATTTTGTAACAATAATGTCACAAGATAGGTTTTATAAGACAATGAAATCCTAGAATTAATTTCTAGTCTGGCAACTTGAGGTTTTATTGCATTTTGTTGAATAAAATGAATATTAATAGCATATTAGAAGGTTTCTTGTTTGATATTTAAATTAGAAGAGTACTAAATAAAAAAGCAAGTGCAGTTATCTTTCATTTCTGACTTTGCAGAAAGACTAATTTGCATTGTAAGAAAATGGAAAATTTTGTGTTTGGTTTTTGTGTTTTTTATTTTTGGTATTTTTTCAGGATAATCTTGGTTAAATTATTGTTACAATAAAGAAATGTGTTACAACAAATGGTTATAAGTATCTATAACCCCTTATCAGTTTCTAAAATTTGGTGAAAAATGAACCTATAATTTCCGGACTCTATTACCAGAGTGTGGTATGGAAGTAAATGAGGGTATGAGAGACACTTTGAGTTCCTTGTATATGTAGATACTATAAAAGGCTCATGGGATGTTGCAGACCATTAGAAGAATAGTAAAACCTTCCATTTTTGATTACTTAATCTTTGATTGGCATTTTGCAAACATTGTTTCAAATCCTCACAATATTGTTACGATAATGTTACCCCTATCCATCACAAGGACAGTCAAGAAAGGCAGGAGATGAAATTTTTTATTCAAATACAATGTTCCTTTTCTCTTTCTTTCTTTTTCTTTTCTTTCTTTTTTTTTTTTTAAACGGAGTTGCAGTGGCGTGATCTCAGCTCACTGCCACCTCCACCTTCCAGGTTCAAGCGATTCTCCTGCCTCAGCCACGCAAGTAGCTGGGACTACAGGCACGTGCCACCATGCCCAGCTAATTTTTATATTTTTTAGTAGAGGTGGGGTTTCACCATATTGGACAGGCTGGTCGCAAACTCCTGACCTCATGATCCGCCTAGCCCAGCCACGATATTCCTTTTTCTACACTGCCACTATTATAGACAAAGGAACAACAACACAACTCTTTGGGGGTTTTTGAATATATTGGAAAACCATGGTAAACACATAGTAACAAAAAAAAGGAAAAAGAGGAAAAGAAAGAAAGAAAACCTAAGAAGTATAACAAAAACATTAAATGAGTAGCATTTATCTGTATAAAGCAGTATTACATTGAAAATGTACTACTTTACATGCTTTCAAAGAAGTATAAACAATAATTTCTATACGTGTACCGTTTCTTACAGTGTGTTGTTCCAGTTTTTTAAAAAATGTTTTTGACTACATGTTGAGTACAGTATACACTGTTTGGGTGATGGGTGCACTAAATTCTCTGAAATTACCACTAAAGAACTTATCCATGTAATCTAAAACTGCCTATACCCTCAACACTATTGACATTTTAAGAATTTAAAAATTTAACTTCGATATTTTAATGTTTAGGAAATACAGTGCTTCCTCAGTCTCTAATTTCCTCTCTCTGATTTATATAAGAAACTCCGAATTGCTGTTAAATATAGATATCACACAAATGGCTAGGGCTAACTATACTTTCTACAATGTATTTGAAAGAATCATCAGAAAGTTCTAAATATTATTACAGAGTCAAATTGTTAAATGGTCAATTAGTAAACTTTGGATGTCTTGTACATACATGGTATTTTGTAATTTTTTATTTATTTAAAAAATAAATTCTGAATAAAGAGTATGGCAGGAAACAAAGTAAAGGCTAATATTGTCACTTTTAGAACATTTGTAAAGTAAATGGAGGAAATCATTACATTGGATATACTCACTACTGCAGGAGCTACAGTGTTCTCAGCAACACTGATAAGTTTGAAGGGTTTTTTCACTCTTGAATAGATTATAAACAAAGATTGGATAAGAGCTTAGAAATGAATTGAGAAACAGTATGTCATATATTCTGGGGCAAAAAGTTATACGGAAAAATTTTAAAGGAAAAGATAGTAAAAAAATGAATTTATATTTTTCCACCTATTATAGAGCTGCCATAATAAAGCAGCTAGGAAACTTAATTTCAATTAGTTGAAGGATTTGTGGGGATGGACAAAGGGGCTGGCAAAGTCTTCAGAATTCAATATGTAGAACTAGTAGTCATAAATGCTCATGTTGCAGTCAAAAGTTATGGAATCATTTTCTCTTCTATATTGAATCTAATGCCTTGAAAAGTTTAGCCAGGCACGAATCACACATATACATCTCTCAGTGTAATTCTTCCATATACAGCTGATTAATGTAGATTTGCACAATTTTCTAATTATCTCAGCATTTATATTTTCATAATCATAACAATGAATGCAGACTAGCTTTTATTTCCTAATCTAAATTGGGTCTTTGGTAAATTCCACTAATATAAAGAGAAATAAAAGTTAAAATTAGAAGAAGAAGATAAGAATACGGATTTAGGAATACTGGGATGAAGAAATGGAAAGAAGTGGAAAGCATTCAGAGAAAATTGACTGGTTAAACATAAAATAAAGTAGTTATGATTTTGTACTTATTTCAGTTTTATATTATCATTGAAAGATATTTAGTGTAGAAAAGATATTTTGATAGGTGTTATAATTTGGCCTCTTAGCAGTAAATATAGTCAGTAAAGCAATTACTAACCTATAAATCATCATTCAGTCACATCCATGTTATCAGTAAAAGAGACAGTAATTAAAGAGAAAGAGTAAATAAGTACCTGTGTATTTGCAAGTTTGTATGAGAAAATCCAAAATCCTGGAACACATACTTACAGTGTACTAGTCACCGGAATATATTTAAACTTAAAGGAAGGAAGCACTGTTTCCACTAATTCAATCTAATCAAGGAGCAGCTATATATTTAATATACTCTGCTTACATTTTGACAGGATATGACCCCATACCATTGCCCTAAAACTGCCAGTGTGTATGTTTCAAATGTTAACTATGTCTTCATTATAACTAATATATTGCATTTTCTTCACAAATATCCCAATAAGGAAACAACTGGAAAGTGTTTTTGCTTATTACTGTGGTTGACTTTGTGTAATTGGGATGAAGTTTATTAAACCTGCCACAAACTGTAGTAGATACACTATACACGTAAATAATAATTCTATCATTTTCACCCTGGTTATTATTCAGAAGTTTCCTAGTTGTACAAAATTAATTTTTCCTAAAAAATAGCAACAGCTATTATGAATGAATGGTAAGAAACATTGCCTACTGAAGTGACAATTTATTATGACAGTAGTGATAATTTGTCAATAGTGACAGTATACTGTGACAGTAAATTTTGTATATTAGTAATTAAACAGAAAATAAAATGTTATGAACACTTAAAGAAAGTAATACCTTATAATTTCATATTCTCAACACTAATATTTTGTGCTACTGAAGTGGGTTCATTGCCTGGGGTAACACCTGAGGTTTGTTGTCTCATGACCATGGAAATCAAAGACATGGAGACACAAAGAGTGAGATTTAGAGCAAACATTTGATAGGCAAAAGAAAGAGAATAGTTCTCTGCTACAGATAGGTGTCCTGGAAAAATGGGTTTCTAGATCTCTGATGAAATGCAGGGTGGGTTATAGATAAGCTGGTGAGGAGGTGGTGTCTGATCTACACAGGGTGCAAAAGACTGGTTAGGAACATGTGTGCCATTTGCATAGGGCATGAATCTCTTGCTGCCTCCATACCAATAGTTGATTATGCAGGTGGGTTCTCTGCCTATGCTTGGCATGTTGGCCATTTCTTTCTTACTGTACACATGGTAACAAAAAAAGGGAAGATGGAGCCTACATGTTGAAAATGCCTGACCCAAAGGTAGCCCTTTTCTATGGTCACACCTGCCGGCATTCCTCTGGGCAGGCTTCCAGCTTGCTTATCTATGTCTGTAGCTCAATTTTTCAGGCTGCTCTTTGTTAGAAAATCAATTATTTGGGGCTCTGCTTTTTGTTAGAAAGGCGATTCCACCAAGGACTTGTTTGCCCTCACTATCTGCCTAAATAATTTCTTTCTACCTCTTGTATCATCATGGAACATTGTGTGAATCAACACCAAATGCCCATTTAACATTTATAAAATGGTATTTATTTATTTATTCATTTATTTATTTATGAGACAGTGTCTCACTCTATCACCCAGGCTGGAGTACAGTGGCACAATCTTGGCTCACTGCAGCCTCCAGCTCCTGGGCTGAAGTGATCCTCCCACATCAGCCTCCCAAGCACCTGGGACTACAGGTGGACACTGCCACACCCAGCTAAAGGTTCATTTAAAAAGAATTTTTATCCCTGGCCCTTTCACTTTCATTACATGTCTTTTAAATAAAACACACACACACACACACACACACACACACACACACACACACACACACACAAAACAGAAAAATTTAAAAAGCATAAATATATTGGTCATATGTAATTAAATCTTTAACAGATGTGCAAACATTCTATAATAGAATCCTAGGTATTTTGTTGTAAATTATGTCACTTGACACTTGTGTTGCTACTACCAGTAGAATGGTAGAGTGAAAGCCAGCATTATAAGGATATAATCCAAACATATTAAATAAAACATTTTATTATGACTCTTCCATTTGGATCCAGAAGTAGTAAAAGATTATACTTTGCCTTATCTCCCAGGTTGTAGAATCACCTGGGCTACTTACTTAGTTTGAATTGTAATCACTGATACTGTACTGTAAGTTATGGGTTCATAATTATAATGTGAATGATACCAATTCAAAATTTTAATAAAAGTGGATTTTACCATTGTTCAATATCCCTGTGACAGGTACTACTACAATTGAAAAATATGACCTCAGGACCAACAGTTGGCTACATATTGGCACCATGAGTGGCCGTAGGCTTCAATTTGGAGTTGCAGTTATTGATAATAAGCTCTATGTAGTGGGAGGAAGAGATGGTTTAAAAACTTTGAATACAGTTGAATGTTTTAATCCAGTTGGCAAAATCTGGACTGTGATGCCTCCCATGTCAACACATCGGCACGGCTTAGGTAAGAGTTTAAGGTTATGTATTTTTTAAGAATGTCAAAAATTACATCTAGCTGCACGTTATTGGAATTTAGCCAAACCCTTAGTGAAAATGTCTCCAAAATGCTAAAAAACTTAAGGAAATGATAAAAGCCTGTGGAACTTCTGTTGTTGCAGGTTACTCCTGATTCCCTTCCACCAGTATTTCAAAGGGGTTTCATTCTAAAAAGGATAACAACTTTTCAAAGGGATTTATTGTTAAATAATCTACAACTACAGCAAGGAGTTTTCTCCTAAGCTCAATTTAGGGAGGAAAGTAGTTGATGACTGAGGGGGATAGTGTTTCTAGTTTGATGAATGATGTGTCCACAGTGGAGAACTTTGATTCTCCTGAATATTTGTCAGGATACCTCTTTCTTTATACTAGGTTCCATATGTTTGCAGTATCATAAGAGTTAGCTGAACAATAGAAAAATTTACTTTTTTAAAAAATTGACTTTTACAGAGCTAAAAATCGGCAGATCCAGAACAAGTATTGTTTGACCCAATTACTCTGACAAATTTACTCTACCAAATAATACATTATACAATTATTGAGTTCAGTTATGTCAGGGTAGTTCCTAGTCATAGCTTAGAATGGTCTTACAGAGAAATCAGAGCAAACTTATTTTTCAGTATAATTGATATTAGTAAATAGGTAGGGGAGGTGATGATGATATACCACTGAGAGGTTGATAGGGATAGTGAAGGTGGGGAAAAAAACAATTATGTGAATTATCAAAGCAGATGCGAAGCAGAAATGGGCTATTCATAATATCTGACAGAACAAATTTCTAACTAAACATTAAAAACGCCTTTCTAGTAAGTTAGCCCACAGGAATCTTTTTATCCCTGTATTAAATATCAGAGGTTATAAAGACCTACCACAGTCAGACTGCAATTCTAAGGTTTATCTAGGAATCAATATCATATTGTATCTACATGTTACATTCAACAAACAATATTGAAGTTTTGCAAGAAAAATCCAGCTTTTAAATTACATATCTAGAAATGGTGCATTCTACTACCGCTTTTGACTTCAGTGTTACAACAATAGTTCCCTTCTATGATATGGTAACTGAAACTATACGTTAAAAAAGTTAGAAAACCATATTTAGCTTTACAACAGAGTCATACTTTGCATACAACTATTCATATGAATGCAAAATCGTTTAATAGGCAAAACAAAAAAAAATAAATAGTTAATTGCTTGCAAAATGAAACAGTATCCATTGTGTGTGGCATACCTAGGTGAACCCACAAATTCTTTTAATTCTTTAGGTGTAGCCACGCTTGAAGGACCAATGTATGCTGTAGGTGGTCATGATGGATGGAGCTATTTAAATACTGTAGAAAGATGGGACCCTGAGGGACGACAGTGGAATTACGTGGCCAGTATGTCAACTCCTAGAAGCACAGTTGGTGTTGTTGCATTAAACCACAAGTGAGTAAGTTGAAACGCAGATGCTCATTGCTTCCAGGTCATATAGTACAGAACTTTAGTGACATGATCCATCAATCAATTAGCATTCCAAATAAACTGGATATACTTGTTATCAATAATAAAAGGTCTTCATTAGAACTCTCCATTAGGACTGAAAATACTTGTCTAAAATAAACACTTGATTAAATATTTTCTATGCCCTTGCTAATCAAGGTGTGGTCCTGGGACCAGCAGCATCCACCTTTCCTGAGATGTATTTAAAAATGCTGAATCCTAGCCCTCCCCCAGATGTCCTGAATCAGAATCTTAATTTTAACAGAATCATCAGGTGACTTCTGTGCACATTAAATTTGAGAAAACCTTTGTAGGCAAGCCAGTTCTAATTTTACCCTCAAAAAGTTACTACTTTTTTACATTACGATTTATTTTTATCAAAACTTTAGTCTGTCTATGGTTATAATAAGGTGATTCTTTTATTTTTTTCAAAAAGCCCTCTCCTGAGTGTTCAGGGTTCCTAAATATAGAATCCTACCTAGTCTCACCCTTCCTGAATATTTACCTCTTCCTGTCACTTGCCTAACACATCCAAAATATTATATTAAAACATGATATTGTTAGAAGTTTCTAAGAGCTTGAATTGTTACCAGGTATTTTGTGCTTTCTGACAAGGGAACTTTGAAGACAATGACCAGAGTATAAGAGGGTCATGAATCATGCTGAGTTTCAGACAATAGGCTGGGTCAATTACCAGAGACAGCCTTGTGTTTATATTGACTACGCATGAAGCCAATACATTATTATAGATATGGTCTCAGTCAAAATGTCAACATATTGTTTTTAGAACCTTGCACAGAAATAAATAGGAAATGTCCATAAATAAGAGGAGATTCAGTTTAAGGTACTCCTAAATCTATCTGTGGCCTGACCTGAATAATGTCAGGTAATTCAGTTATATAATCTCCTGCCTAATACAGAACAGGATGAAAACATGAAATTTGACCCATTTAATTTTGTTTTTCTGAGTTGCTGCTGTTTACAACTCAGCATGAAGGGAAGTTATAGGAATATGGATTAATAAAAATAAATGTCTGCCTTCTTTATTAATGTATTATAATTTTAAAATTATATTAAAATACTACTTATCAAAAGAATGGCATTTTAAAGTGTATGGGAGAAATGTCATAGCCAATATCACTTCCTAGGGAAAAAATATAGTTTCTAGGTTCTATCTTTTTTCCTTAATTGTTTATTAAGTTAGTATCTTCTAAGTGATAATTGTTACTGCAAATATAAAATCATACATAAAAACAACAGATTCCACTCCTAGGCAGTTGAACCCTGCTAAAATTGTAAAGTTGTTGGAGTTGGTCTTTGGAACTATCCTACCAATCCCTTTGATGTTTCCCTCTTTTATCTGTGCCTCATATCCCATGGAATCTTTTATTCAATTATTTTAAAGTGACTGTGACAAAGATAGTGAAAAAGAAAGGTTTAGGTTGGGATAGATTTTAACAGGTACACTCAGGTAATGATCTATTCACAAACTTCTGCTATTGACTGCAAAATAGTATAGGAGTAGAATATAGAGTCTGACCCTCCAGAAACTTGAAAAGCTTTGTGCAAAGTTCTATCACTCTCATTCTATGTATGTATTTTGTGTGTTTGTGTGTGTGTATATATACACACACATACATGTACATACACACAGATCTGTCTTTTTATCTAGATTATATGCTATTGGTGGACGTGATGGAAGTTCCTGCCTCAAATCAATGGAATACTTTGACCCACACACTAACAAGTGGAGTTTGTGTGCTCCAATGTCCAAAAGACGTGGAGGTGTGGGAGTTGCCACATACAATGGATTCTTATATGTTGTAGGGGGTCATGATGCCCCAGCTTCTAACCATTGCTCCAGGCTTTCTGACTGTGTGGAACGGTAAGTTTTTTTCTGTTTCTTTATGTGTGCAATTATTTGGTTATTTATTTTTTTAGAAATAAGAAAGATTTTTAAGCAACCAGAAAGTTTTCTTCCAATAAATGCTAATCCTTTTAGTGGATTTGTCTTCTGTAAAATTGTACACTTTCTCTTAGGCTGATTTTTAAAAATATTTCATATGCATTTCAGATTCAGCATAAAAAATGTAAAAAAATACACATCTTATTGTTAGTCACACTATAAAGTAATAAGACAAAGTGGTAAACAAATACATTTTATGCCAAGCTATATCACTCAACCAATTAAGGAGACTCAAATCAAAATAAATTTACTGAGATTGGGGAAAAATGACACATAGGAGCCAGAAGTAACCTGCAGCTCCCACTCGTATAGACAGAGAAGTGTGTGGATACCCATATCGTGAACTTCTGCTCTATGAACTACCATAGGAAAGCCAAGAGAATCCACTGACAGGCAAGGAATTGTGAGCCTGCTTGCTTTCTCAGCTGGGAGGCTCATGGCCTAGGGCAGGTTCTCAGCCCTGTTCACTGGCTGTCTTGAAATAAACTAGGTTCCTTTGAGGCGAGCACAGTGGGAGTGTGTCCAGCCTTTCTGGCTGCAGGCTGCATGGGAACTGGGGGAGACCTGTGGCTACCAGCTTTCCTGGTGGCCTATGTGACAAAGCAGAGACAGCTGTAATCCCCCTGGAAGCATAACTCCATTGGCCTGAAAACCACACCCCATCTCCCACAGCAGCTGCGGCAAGCCCCACCCAAAGAGAGTCTGAGCTTAGACATGCCTAACCCTGCCCCCACCTGATGGTCTTTCTCTTCATAGTCTGGTAGCCAAACACAAAGGTCTTAATTTCTTGGTAAGTCTGTGGTCCTTCCCACTGCCTGACCCAAAGGCAAAGTTGTATCCTCCCTATAGAAACAAAGTTGATGGGCTCTTGAATGTGCCACCTTTTAGCTGGAAGCCAACTAACAAAAAACGGTGCACTAAACAAAAATACAACCAACAACTCTCACAGAGCATACTTCACTCCCCTGCCACCTCCAGGAGGGTAAGTGGTAGTATCCATGGCTGAGAGACCTGAAGATGGATCACATCACAGGATCACATCTCAACTGCCAACACTACCCACCCTAGTAGCTCTGCTGGGTGGCTAGATCCAGAAAAGAAATAGCAATTACTGCAGTTTGGCTCTCAGGAAGCCCTAACACTAGGTGAAAGGGGAGAGCACCACATTAAGGGAGCACCCCATTAAGGGAGCACCCCCATAGGACAAATGAATCTGAACAGTAGCCCCTGAGTTCTGGATCTTTCCTCTGCCATAGTCTACGCAAATGAAAAGGAACCAGAAAAGCAATGCTAGTAGTATGACAAAATGAGGTTTTTTTTAACACCCCCAAAAGATCACACTAGCTCACCAGCAATGGATCCAAACCAAGTTGATATGTCTGCATTGCCAGAAAAAAAAATCAGACTTATTAAGCCAATTCAGACTATTAAGCCAATCAAAGAGGTTCCAGAGAAAGTTTAAGTCCAACTTAAAGAAATCAAATAAATAAATAAATTATGCAGAATGTGAATGGAAAATTCTCCAGTGAAATGGATAGCATAAATAAAAAGCAATCACAGGCTTGGCATGGTGGCGCATGCCTATAATCCCAGCACTTTGGGAGGCCAAAGAGGAGGATCACCTGAGATCAAGAATTTAAGACCAGCTTGGCCAACATGGCAAAACCCTGTCTGTAGTAAAAACACAAAAATTAACTTGGCATAGTGGCAGGCGCCTTCAATTTAAGCTACTCAGGAATCTGAGTCAGGAGAATCACTTGAATCTGGAAGGCAGAAGTTACTCATTAGGTTATCTATACTCGATACAAAGGAAATAATCTTAAGAGTTGTGAAGCAAAAGTATCAGGTAACCTATAAAGGGAAACTTACGAGAGTAAAAGCAGATTTTGTACTAGAAACCCTATAAGCCAGAGGGAATTGGGGTCTTATCTTTACCCTCCTTAAACAAAACAGCCAATAATTATCCAGTGAAACTAAGCTTCATAAATGAAGGAAATATACAGTCTTTTGTAGACAAACAAATGCTGAGGGAATTTGCCACTATGAAGCCAGCACTACAAGAACTGCTAAAAGGAGCTCTAAATCATGAAACAAACCTCAAAATACTCAAAAATAGAATCTCCTTAAAGTATAAATCTCACAGGACATATAAAACAATAACAGTGAAAAAAATACCAAGATATTCCAGCAATTAATAGTATAATGTATAGAATAGTACCTCACATCTCAGTAGTAACGGTGAATGTAAAATGGCCTAAATGCTTCACTTAAAAGACGCAGAATGGCAAAGTCAATAATAACTCATTAATTAATATCTGTTGTCTTCAAGAGACTCACCTGACAAATAAAGACTCAAACTTAAGGTAAAGGGGTGATAAAAAGATATTCCATGCAAATGGCAAAAATAATGAGCAGGAGTAGGTATTCTCATATCAGGCAAAACAAACTTTAAAGCAACAGCAGTTACAGACAAAGAAGAACCTTAAATAATGATAAAAGAACTAGTCCAACAGGAAAATATCACAATCCTAAATATATATACACTTAGCACTGGAGCTCCCAAATTCAGAAAACAATTACTACTAGACCTAAGAAATGAGATAGACCACAACACAATAATACTGGGAGACTTCAATACTCCACTGACAGCACTAGACAGGTCATCAAGACAGAAAGTCAACAAGAAACAATGAACTTAAACTATACCCTAGAACAAATGGACTTAGATATTTACAGAACATTCTACCCAACAACTGCAGAATATGCACTCTATTTATGAGCACATGGAACATTCTCCAAGATAGACCATGTGACAAAACAAGTCTCAGTAAAAGCCACAAAACAAGTCTCAGTAAATTTAAGAAAATTGAAATTACATCAAATACTCTGTCAGACCACAGTGCAATAAAGCTGGCAATCAACTCTAGAAGAAAACGTCAAAATCATGCAAATACATGGAAGTAAAATATCATGCTTGTGAATGATCATTGTGTCACAATCAAATCAAGATTGAAATAAACAAAGTTATTTGAATTGATCAATAATAATAACATAACCTATCCAAACCTCTAGGAAACAGCAAAAATGGTTCTAAGAGGAAAGTTCATAGCATTGAATGCCTACATTAAATAGAGAGAGCACAGATAGACAATCTAGGGTTATACCTCAAGGAACTAGAGAAACAACAGACAAACCCAAACACAGCAGAAGAAAAGAAAGACCAGAACTAAATGAAACGGGAACAAAAAATACAGAAAATAAATAAAACAAAAAGCTGTTTTTTTGAAAAAATAAAATGGCAGACCATTAGCAAGATTATCCAAGAAAAGAAGGGAGAAGATTCAAACAAGCTCAGTTAGAAATGAAATGGGAGATATTACAACCAATATTGGAGAAATACAAAAGATCATTCAAGGTTACTATGAACACTGTTATGCACACAAACTAGAAAACCTAGAGGTGATGGATAAATTCCTAGAAATACACAACTATCCTAGATTAAACCAGGAAGAGATAGAAACTCTGAACAAACCAATAACAAGAAGCGAGATGGAAACAGTAATTAAAAAGTTACCAACAAAAAAAAACCCTCTATGACCAGATGAAATCACAGCTGAATTTTACATGACGTTCAAAGAAGAACTGGTACCAATGCTACTAAAACTATTCTTAAAGATAGAGGAAAAGGGAATTCTGTGTAACGTGAAGTCAGTATCAACCTTATACCAAAACCAGGAAAAGGCATAACAAAAAAGAAAACCACAGCCCAATATCCATGATGAACATAAATGTAAAAATTCTCAACACATTACTAGTTAACAGAATCCATCAGCATATCAAAAAGATAATACACTATGATCAAGTTAGTTTTATACCAGGGATGCAGGGATGGTTTAACATCCACAGTCAATAAATGTTATACACTTCATAGAAGTATTTTTTAAAAAATCACATAATCTTCTCAAGAAATGCAGAAAAGTCCAGCATCCCCTTATGATCAAAACCCTCAGCAAAATCAGCATAGAAGGGGCATACATTCAGGTAAGGAAAACCATCTATGAGAAAACCACAGCCAACGTAATACTGAAAGGTCTGTTTGCAGGTAAAGTTTCCACCATGATCAAGTGGATTTTATACCAGGGATACAGGGATATGCAAAGGCATAAGAATGATATAATGGACTTTGAGGACTGGCAGGGGAAGAGTGTGAGGAGCAACAGACTACAAATATGGTGCAGTGTGTGATACTCAGATGATGGGTGCACCAGAATCTCACAAATTACTACTAAAGAACTTACTCATGTAGTGAAATTCTACCTGTATCCCAATAATTTATGTAAAAAATTAATGTACACAAATCTTTAGCTCTGCTATACAACAGTGACGAAGCTGAGGATCAGATCAAGAACTCAACCCTTATTGCAATAGCTGCAACAACAACAACAATGAAACTCAGGACTACACTTAACCAAGGAGTTGAAAGACCTCTACATGGAAAACTGCAAGACACTACAAAAGAAAGAAAACATAGATAACACAAACAAATGGAAACACATTCCATGCTCATGATCTGTAGAACCATTATTGTGATAATGACCATACTGCCAAAAGCAATCTACAAATTCAATGCATTTCCCTTTAAAATACCACCACTATTATTCACAGAACTAGAAAAAACAATTCTAAAATTAATATGAAACAAAAAAAAAGCCTACTTAGCCAAAGCAAGACTAAGCAGAAAGAACAAATCTGGAGGCATTACATTACCCGACTTCAAACTATACCATAAGGCCATGCTCCCTAAAACAGAATGGCACTGGTATAAAACTAGGCATATAGATGAATGGACCTTCTTAGAGAAACCAGAAATAAAGGCAAATACTTACAGACGACTGATCTTTGACAAAGCAAAGAAAAAC